ACTTATATAAAAAAATTCTTTTTTGATACAGAGCTGAGTGATTTTGGTGTTACTTACGAAGTATGGGTGTATGTTGTTCATATCCTAACTTACGCTGAGATCTAATAAGATTATATAATCTATCTGTGTCGGACTTTTTCTTTATAAACCTTATCACATACATAGACATTTGTATTATTATTAGTACTTAATATAGTATTTATACATAGATATTCTGTATTCCGAATGCTGCCAATTTCACTTTGTATATACAATTACAAACTACATATTATACAATCCTAATATCTATTTTCATACATTCCTTTTCTCTTTTACACACTCATCCCCTCTAATAATTATCTTCTTTCTATCATGCACTCAAGTTCCAAAATTCTTTTTGTTTCATTTTTGTTATTACAGATTGCTAGGCAACAATATGCTTACTCGTGCTGGCTGCACCTATCAAGCCTAAATATGCAATAACAAAAAAGAAACAAAAATACTTAAACATCCATTTTTATAGGACACCATATCAAAATGATTCATGGCAGAAGCATTGCATATCTATCTACTATATTGTTAAACAGAATGTTCATGCTGTTAGCATTAAACTCTGTAAGAATTACGAACAATTCTTCAACGTTTTTTTAATTGCTTCTGCCAATAGTTTACATTACCATTTCACTATCCTAAATGTCATCGTGACGTTTTATAATATTCGCCAAATCAAATTGTTAGTAATTTCATTCGAACGGAAGAATCTCGTATATAGACAAACAACGTTTACAAAACGAAATTTACGAAACGATTCGTCAATCATTTTCAATTGCGCAGAAAAATTTCTTTTTATTTTTTTTATAAGCTAAACGTATAACATTAGACGCTTCACACGTCGCATGAAAAGAACACACTCGATATATTTATCAATTTTTATACATCGCTAAATTGGTAATCTCGCATCAAATCCTATCATATTAAGTGTATACATCAACAATAACATACCGATGACTAAATCATTGTACATACTAAACCGCGCGAATATTACTATCGCAGCGTGTTGATAGTATAATTATTTTAAGAATAAGATCACATAGATCTTTCTTAATTTTGATTAGATAAAAACTGCGAATTTTGAGCGCTCATATTGAGCGTTCAAAGATGCAGTAAAACGAAAGATTATAGAAATATTCTAATATTGCTAAATATTGGTGACCGACGATCAATGAGAGCAAGATCGTTACTGATATGAAAGAACAAACATTCTATAATAAATAGTGTGTCTTCATCTGAAGATCGCTTTCACTTTTCTGACGAGCTCCCTTTGCTTTTTCCAATCCAGAATATAACAAAAATAGGAATGCGAAAAACTATAAAAATATTCAAAAGTAGCTTTTCTATCGATAATATAGTCTTGTACTTTCTTTCCTTTCATCGTTCATTATTTCAATATTTCAAAATGATTTGATTTTTAATAGAGAGCTCGAGGACTCATAATGTTTGCATAGCAAGTTTTGAATTTATCCAAATTGTTTCATCTCGCTCTATTCTTTTCCATCCAATCGATCACAATCAAACTATCATAGTTCTTAATTTTATAAAAATCACGATTTTATTTAAAACCTCAAAGCTTTAAACAATGATAATTACTTTGGATTAATCATCAGACAACCTACGCCATTGTAACGACTGCTCATCGCCGATATACAAGTATCGCCATATGTACAACAAATAAAGAGACTATACAAGTTTATATAGAAATTCCTAAAAAAATAAAATTGTATATAGCTACATAAATAAGTTAGTAATAGTATTAATTCTAATTTATTTGACATATTAATGCCATTATGACTGTTTTAATCTAAATAATTTTGAAAAATTAATGGATTATATTAATAATCACACAAGATAAATGAAAAAAAAAATTCAATTTTCTTTTTTGTACTTTTGGCCAATTAAATATTTTTTTTTTTTACTCAGGATTTATTCGATTCGTGTATCTTGTTCGGGCGGCTCAGTTATTAATCGGACCATGCCCAAAAAATTTAACGTACAACTTTACTTGCTCGTCAAATTCGAGAAGATGACATTTTAAGATTATACGTATTTTCCCAAAATTTTTTATATATTTTAATAACCTTCCGATTTTTTGCGGATACCATACCTATATAATCGAATAAATATAATTTTTTTTCTAATAAAAACGTCACTTTCACATAATTTTCTTTTCCACGAGCCTAAAATATACCGAGAATAAGGTACATAGTCTGATGTAATGGTTGGTAGGATCGAAACTACTTCAATTCTAGAATCATCTTATCATTATTTGTAATAATTGACAACATTGTTCTAAAGTGAGTTAATGAATACCTTTGCATCCACCAGTTGGCTCATAACTCTTAAATCAATCACAACATTATACATTAATTAAGTAATAATATTCTGACCGATCAGGAGTTGATCAATTGAAGCCACAAGCGGACAGTCGTGATGATCATTATTAAATTCATCAGGTTCTTGGATGTTCATATTATTTTACATTTTTTTATATTCACTTAATACGCTCAGCTATTTTCGCGATTACAAACAGCGTATATGAATAATTAAGAAAGAAATTTGCAAAAGCGATATTAATGATAGTTAATAATTACATATATTATTGGCAGAAATACTTTCTATGTAATCCTACCAACGATTAATGACTCAATGTGGAAAAATACAAAACTTAACTAAATATACACGTTTTTTACTCTTCTCTAAGCCAGCATTCATTTTTAATCGCACGCATTCGATTATCACATGCAAACCTCTCTTATTTGCATAATATGTTGTTTCCAAATTTACATAAAGTACAAACTTATGAAAACCGGAAAAATGTAACACAATAATCAGTGTAGCATTTTTGAAGTATCATATAAGTATTTATCTAATTACATAGTCGCACTTAAGTGTCTGTCATTCTCAAGACAATATAATTTGTCTCGGTTTAACTGTTAAATTGTTTCAATCTTCTGACGACCAAGGATCTTCCGTTGGTATGTCGCCCAATTATATCATCATTTATGATAATTAGCACATGACCTATCGGTCGTCATCGTTATTTATCTTTGTTTGCATTGTTTTTGTTTATCGATTGGTATCATATTTAAAGATTTATACAACATCGCTCAATACCAAACATACACAGAACTTTTTCCAAGTTCTGTGGATATTATAAACAGGATATAGTAACATTATAAAGATTCCTCAAACGCAGCCATCAAATCGCTCTGCATGTTCATGTCAATTTGGCTAGCCATCTGAAAAGATAAATATAATTTCGCAAATCCCTTTATTATAGATGTCAAAGGGGTAATCTATTTTTATATATCTTTATATGACTCTACTTGAAAAATAAAATTTCCTTCAAATTATTTCGCAAATTAATCAAATTATAATAATTGATAACTAATAAAATTACTGTGTAACATAACACAATTTTATTTTATGTCATAATTATATCTTATTTTTGATTGTATTTTATTTTTTTTATGATGCATCGTAAGTTTTACTGTAACATACATGTATGTACATAAAATTTTAAAATTTCAAAAAAATTGATCATTGTTAAGTCAAAAATTTACAATTAATTATTAAACTATGTTATATATATCAAATTATATTCAGATCGTGTGCTAAAACTACAATTTCTTGTACATACAATTTACTACGGATGATATCTCATATTGTAATAATCGCACAAATCCCTTTCTTCAGTGTAACACTATTTTACTTGTTTTTATTTGTTGAAAAATTATAACAAAAATTTTGTAAAAATGCAAATTGTAAAAATGTAAGTACTTACCGCTTCTCGTCGTCGGCGCTCTTGTTCTCGTTGCCTCAGACGCTCTCTTTCTGCAGCCGACTTATCTTGACTGGACGAATGACTTGGACTACTACTATCAGTGTCAGTAATTGCTTTTACTTCTTCTGCTCTGGTTGTAGCAGTCATAACACTGCCTTGCTGATCTCCAACATTTTTTCTAACTTTATCCAGAGCATCTTCTTCCTCTCGCTCCCGTCTTCTTTCATTTTCCTGTCGCAATCTTTCTCGCTCCGCTTGTTCCTTCTGTTGTCTGCGCATTTCTTGCTGCTCCAATAAAGCTCTTTGCTGTTTTACAAATATTAATATGAAAATATTATTATACTAAACAGACGCGGTATATAATATGTATTTTGCAGAGTTGTAGAAAAGAATATATGATCGATTAAAAATTCGTAAAGTAGTCGGTATCGCAACTAACCCTATCTTGTTTTTCTTTAGCTTGCTTTTTGAATGCCTGGAATGTGTCTCGCGCTGCACTTTTCATACTACTCCCTGCAGCTGCCGATTGTGGACTCGATGCTTGTGCCAGGGAAGACCAGGATGACGCGTTCTTTACATTCTGTTCTACAGTCTGTGTAATCAAAAGCACATGTCAAGTTTTAATCCAAATTGCTTCACTTTCATAATATACATAAAAAAATACATGTATTTGTAAAAATACAGATTATGTGTACAAAACGGTTACGCAAATTTTAAATATGAAAAAGATACGCTTATTATAAATATATATGAATTTCTATTTATTACACACATTTAGTTCTCTAGAACACACTGTTTTTGTGTGTGATCAGTAGCAAAGGCCTTCACTGTATCTGAATATCCGTGAACGATAGATGCAAGCAAGCGATTTTAAGTTCGTAATCACAGAAACTGTTAGAGAACGAGAACAAAAGAATCTGAGTGTTTCAAATGTTTCCTTTTATAATTTTCGATTTTGAATGATGGTTTTTATTTGTCTTCTATAATGTATATTGTGTTAGGTGAGTCATAATTGTGTGGAGCGCTTCTGTGTGGCTGCTCAGCTATATGAAATTTTCGCGATTTGATATTTGAATTGTTCAAATAAAAGATGAGTCGGAGCACACTAATGTCAACGAATTTCAGACAATCGATTTTGCTGATAACTTATTATTTTTATTTTAACCTTTCTTTCTCATCAGTTAATGTTTACATATTAGATGTTGAATTTAATTAATTACAATTTGTCTAGAACAAATGTAGAACACGTTTTCTATATATACAATAATCTACAATAATAGAGTGATGTAATCAAAAGTTATAAAAGTAATAAAGAGCTTTTTTTTATTGAGTTATATAAAAATAATCTTCAGAAAAATGTATATAAAAATACATATATAAAAAAGTATTAGAAAAAATAAATTTATACTTCTTACATAATTCAATCCAAATATATTCTTAGAGAATATTTTTTGTACCTTATTTTTAAAAGCTGATGCAAAATTTGCAGCGGGATTTTTCGAATCGGGCGGGGTCATTTTCTTTTCAGGCATCAGTTGAGTGCTGGCATGATTACCCATTGATGGCATTCCTAAGGTGTTCATTTCTGCAAAAAAAGCTCCTGCTAGAGCAATAGTATTATATGTCTGATTAGTAAGCAGTTATAATACAGCAGTTAAAACACGTTTAAAGCGGCATTGTTACTTCAAGCATTGAAGCAGTATGAAAATTCGAGAAAGCATATAATATCGAATGATAAAGATTAGATTAAATAAAAATAAAATTGAGTATATGTCAAGAAACGATCTGATGTAAAATACTTTAAATTAAGCTATTAAAATTAAACTCTATGTCTCATTTTTTAATATAATTTCTATTATGTAATATTGCGTTTAATAATTGTATTAACAGTTAAGTTATTTTTTTTAAATTATTTTTGTAAACTGCATATAATAAGCATGAATCTACTAGAGTTACAAAAGAAGAATAAACAAATATGAAATAATACTCGTGCAGCCTAAGTGCAAATTTAGAGAAAAGCAACAAGACATAATGTGTAAATATGTAATTGTATTGCACGAACCATCCATAGGTTTCTGCGTCAGTTGAGGTTGAGAAATTGGCAATGGTTTTTCGTCTTTCTTTAGAGGAATCTGAGAAATCTGCATTGGCATAGATGTTATAGGAAGGGGGTCGAATATCGAACTCATGCCACCCATATTCATTCCCATATTTAATCCTGGAATACCATTGTTATTCAGCATATTGGATGGTGAATTTCCGCGTTTTGTATTTGGAAATCCGTTGGAATGCTGCTGCGATATCGTAACATTGTGAGAGTTCTGTATATTAGTCAATGGTGCAGTAGTATTAATCATATTCTCCAATTGATTGTGCATGGACATATGTGCCAGTCCTTGCGGCAAATTCATATTTAAATTGGTCATATTAATGTTGCCCAAGTTCAGATTAGAAGTCATACTCGGCATCATGTTGACAGGTTTTACATCCGGTAGTAAATTGAGATTGGTATTGTTGTTAGTATTATTCGTTGTATGAGACGTTTGAATAAATGAAGACTCCTTCTTGATTGCGAGTGTTTGATCCAAGGTGGGCTGTGTTTGAATAAACGGAGACTCCTTCTTGATTGCGAGCGTTTGATCCAAGGAGGACTGTGTAGTAGGCACCGAAGCTACATAAAATACGTATATAGGATATGGTTACTTTGAATTTGTTTTTCATATGTAATAAAAACTTATTTTATGCGTGGTCTTTATATATGTGCAATATCAATAATTGTATCTAATTATAGATACCTAAAGCATTATATGGCTGTAAAAGATCAGACTGTTGATTTAAATTTGTTCCGTCTGTGGGTACGGATGTATTTGCATTTGGAAAGGAACTAATGGACGTTGGTGGCTGCTGCGGTGGTTGTTGAGATACAGCTGGTGAAGCTGTCATAGAATTTGTATTTGTAGGTGTGACGCTGGGCGGTGGAGTTGGTACAGAGACCGACGGAGTTGGTGGATTAGATGTTGTCGGTGGTGGTGGTGTTGGTTTTTTTACAGGAGCGGCCGTAGCCAGAGCTGTAGGTCGCGATGGTTGAGCTGGCATAGACGCATGACTCGCAACAGGTATACTTTGCCCTGTTGTGACAGCAGCCACTGCGACAGGCTGTTGATTATTATTGCCTCCTAAAAGAATTTTTGCACTTACGTCTCATAATCTAGCAATTTAACATTTAATCGCATAAATTAGCATCTTTTTAACAATAACACATATTATTCTTCCTCGTACTTTATGTGTCGTGTTAAAGATTGCCAATAAAAAATGATGTCTTCATTAAATAAAAGAATTTATAAATTATAGTACGTTATGATATTGCTAGATCTGTTAGAAAAAACAACAGGTTGCAATTAAAAAAAGAAAGTAATTTGTTACGATAGTCACACGACAAGTATGTAAGTGCCGAAAAAAAAATCTTCAAAAATAATTTTCAGATTATATTAAATCTGACAAAAGTATTTCTTATGCGAAAATTGCCAATTGATATTACAGTATATGTTTCACAATTTCATCAATATACCTTGTTCTGAAGAAATATTGCTTGATTGGCTAACAGGCGGCTTTGTTATTGGTCCCGTAGAATTCGCTGGTTGATTATTCAATAAAAGAGCTCCACTATGATTTAATGTAGGTGCCTATATATAAAGAGTGTATTATTCTTTATATCATATTTTCACATGTAAAAATTCTTATATGCATCACAGTATATTAAGGTAATAATAATATGTAATAATAAATATATAAATATCATATTACGTGCATATTGATATAAGCA